TGATATAGGTGTGCCAGCAGCTGGAACAGGACAGAAATGTGAAGCGATTCAGGATCCTTGAGTGCTGGAGTAGCCTGATTTACCATTTAAAGTACTGTAATAGGGGGTTATAGGTCCATCATCGCACTGGCATAATTAAAAAGCCATTTACCTCATAAATCTGGTGCTATTTAGTTTGAGAACTAGCACAGAATCAGCCACAAATTGTTTAGGTCCCAGAGAGTTAAACAGAGTATTGTCGAAAAACAAAAATGAAGTGAAAAATTACAGAATGTCCTGATATTTAATATTTCACTGTTGAACATGCATCCATTTTATTGAGATTTAATTATTATTTTCCTTAGCATGTAAGACCATATGATCATGAAAATAAAGAATTTTGTTTAAAGACCTTCATTAAGGAGGGGACACAATGCAAATATGCAATATCCCTAAATGCAATATCACGTTTCTTAATGGATGTAAGTAGTGTGAAGATGAGCCATATGGCAAAAATAGAATATTGCGATACTTCAAGAAATGTTTACAACACAACATATGTCACAATATTTATTTTTTCTGACATCTGATCAGGTGGAACAGAGAAAAAAGAGCCAGCAGTACTGCATTTTAAAAAATACTATCAAAAACTGTGAATACAATCATTTTTTTCATACTGTGTTGCACTGTTTAAATAGTTACACAGGACCAATTTTGCTGTCTTTATAATGAATATGCAGTCATGATATTAATATATTGTTATATTGCCCTGCCCTAAAATAGTGTACTAACCCCTGCTAATATACTGTTCATTGTTCTGAATTGAACATATTGGGGAAAAACAATGTGGCCTGTGCAAAATTTATGGCACATTTTTTATTTTATGTTTTATTTTTTCCAGTATGTTCAACTCAGCACATAAATAGAAGTTGTGCATATTTCAGTTTGTTTTTCATTTCAAAAATGAACAAAACATGTAATTTGACGAGCATTTGCATGTTACTCTTCTCACTATATACCAATTGTGTTCTGATTAAAATTCAGTTATAAGCACCAAATACTATTCTGTAATAGTACAGTAGATGTAAACACTGCCAGAACAAGATTGTGGGTAAACATAATAGCTAATAATAAAAAGCATTATATATTTAATCCATGGAAATATTGGTGGATGAGTGCATTATTCTGCACTATTTGCTCACACAGTCTTCCAAAGTGGTGAACCCCTTTCTAACTTCTGAGAGCCTCTCTAGGATGCTCCTTTTATATCTGATATCGTTACCAACCTGTTGCCAATGAACCTAATTAGTTGTGAGATGTTCTACCAGGTGTTTTTGTAGCATTATACAACTTTACCAGTCTTTTGTTGCCTCATCCTTTTTTGAACTTTTTTGATACTGGCATCAAAGTCAAAATGGGCATATATTTTTTTCAAACAATAACATTTCTGTTGGTTCAGTACTGTTTTCAATGAAATATAGGGTTTAAATTATTAGCACACCATTGTATTCTGTTTTTATTTACATTTTGCAAAGCATTCCAACTTTTTTGAAAACAGGGTTGTAGATTTAGTGTTCTGAAACATTGTCTTGTCAAACTGCAGGATAGAGACATAGAGAAGCACTTGGTGATGTATTATTAGTTTTGAAGAAGTGGACTTTCTTTCATGGCTGTTCTTTCACAGTCATGAGACTATAAGACCCTGCTCCTGGACTGAATTTGTCGAGGGCTGCAGTAATTACAGGTATTTGTTCCACGTGTTCACAACCCTACCTGATTTCACTAATGAAGTTCTTTGAGAAGAGCTTGTTTGTGATGGGGGATCAGAGCCACAACTGAGAGGAAAGTCAAAAACATCCTATTATGACCAACATTAAACTGCAAAAACCTTGTACATATTATATTTAACTATAATTATAACCAAACATTTAAACATCCCTGATCTAATTATAGTTTTGTTGAACTGAAAAACAACCTTTCACTCTTTTGAACACATTTTAACCAACACAACTTAATTAACAAAACATGTAATTTGACAAGGAGTGCCCAAACTTTTGCATACGACTGTATATGAAATTTAAAAAAGCTAAATAAAATAAAAAATAAAAGCATGTATGTCCTTTGATGTGAGAGAAGTAATGTAGTTAAAAAACAATAAAAATAATAATTACAAAAACAAAGGCAACAACAATAAGAAGAATACACAGAGATGTGGTCATGCATGTTCAATAGCAAAGAGTTTTTCTTTTTCTCCATTGAATGGTCAGTTAGGGTTGAGCTTAAATACACTCTCATTCTCCACAGCTTGATTTTTATGGGCTGCCTTGTAACCCATAAATCTGAATAGGCTGAGGTCTTTATCGGTGGAGCAGCAGCTCCTCCTCACCGCGCTGTAGGTTATAGTTGAGATCTTACATGCTATGTAAATCAAGTTCTTCTGGAAGTTGTCTCGTAATACGCTTCTGTCACATCTAAGCCACTGTGTGGATTTATTTACGCTAATCCTTAGTAGGGCACATCTGTGGCCCGTATTCTACACGAACTGGACATTAACAGAAAACTGAGGGAAGTTTAACCACAGACTTCACGACTGAAGGTGACAAAGTGCTACATGACCGCAGGAGGAATAAATTGCAGTCTTGGTGTGCAAAGTGTCAGCTGGTGTTAAGTAATACTTTATTTGAAGGCTGCCTACATAGGGGCTTTATGACACATGCATAAGCACTGAATATTGTATTTGAAATGCTGTATCTGAGTACAGCTTGTGATAATGTTGTGTTGCACAAAAACCTTGTCATTTTTTACTTTTTTGCATAATTTGAAAGCTCAAATTACCTTTTGTTCAAATTTCATAATGAATGAGGCAATAAAAATGGTCCAAAATTACTTTGGGTGGGAGTGTGAAGGGGAGGAGTGTGTGGGGGTGTAAAGGGGAGGAGTAGGTGGGGTGAGGTTGGAGAGAAGTTGGACCGATCACTGATAGCAAAGTAACTCTCCTCTTACTCCACAGTGAGGTGGAAGCCAATGATGCGGCAGAACCTTTGGGGTGGCATCTGGTGTGGCCAATCTGTTTTAAGGGAGGAGCACCGGCCACCCTGGCCACTCCGGCCACCCCTTCAAAGCCATGCATGATTACAAACACACATGTCTCCTTAATAGAAATGCTATCCAATGCTTAAGCATGAGTTATGAATTCCATATGTCGGTAGCTTTCAAGTGAAGTGTTACCAGATGTTATCTTTGGTAGCTTATGTACAAATATATAGTACATAAGCTGTTCATAAACACTGAAGTATTTTAAAAGCTTTTGAATATATTATGATGTTCCTATGTAAGCAGCCTTCAAATAAGATTTTACCAATTATGTTATGGCTTTTACAATATGTTATTCAATGTTTATGCATGCATTATGAAGTTCCTATACAGTTAGCCTTCCAATAACATGTCCAAATACATTAATGTTTTATTGCTTTTTTTCAAATGTGTTATTGAATGCTATGCATGTGTAATGACATCCCTATTTAGAAAGCCTTCAAAAATGTTATTCAATGCTTATGCAAGTGTTATGATGTCTCTTTGTAGGTAGCCTTCAAATAAATAATATATTGTTGATTTTTTATTTTTAATTCAGTGCTTATGCAGTCTTCAGATTAAGTGTTACCAAATGTCATTTTGCAAATATATAGTACATCAGCTGTTAAAAAATACTGAATTAGCAATTTTTATATACATTATGGCTTCCCTACATGAGTAGCCTTCAAATATTGTGTTGCCAATTCTGACAAGGTGTTATTGCTCTCACAATGTTTATGCCTGTGTTATGAAGTACCTATGTAGATAGCCTTTAAATAAATTGTTTCCAAATACATTAATGTTTTATTGCTTTTAAAACGTGTTATTCAATGCTTATGCATGTGTTGTGACTTCTTTATGTAGGTAGCCGTCAAATAGTAATGTTACCAAATACAATCATATATCATTCCTTTTTAATATTTTATTCAGTGCTTATGCAGTCTTCAAATTGTTACCAAAGTGTTACCAAATGCCATTTTGCAAATATAGAGGTCATAAGCTGTTCAGAAATACTGTATTATCGCTTTTAAAATATGACGTGCCAACCTGAATAGCCTTCAACTATTGTGTTGCCAAATATGACAAGGTGTTATTGCTTTCACACCTTAATAAAGTGTCTTCAAATACATTACTGTTTTATTGTTTTTAAAATGTTATTCAACACTTATGCATGTGTTATAAAGTCCCTATTTAGGAAGACTTCAAATATATTATTCAATGAATATGCAAGCGTTATAACGTTCCTATGTAGGTAGCCTTCAAATAAAGCGTTACCAAATACAATAATATATAAAAATCATTATGACATCCATACCCGCGTGGCCTTCAAATACTGTTTTGCCAAATATTACATGGTGTTATTGCTTTCGCAATGTTTATGCATGTGTTATGAAGTCCTTATGTAGGCAGCCTTCCAAAAAAGTGGATCCAGATACAACAGTATTTCATGGTGAGCGACTGAACGAACAGGAGCTGTCTGAGGTGCTGAAATCACACCTTGCAATGGAGCACATACAAACTCAAGCACGTAAACACAAGTTTACAAGCAAGCAACCAGAAAACAAGCTACACAGCCAGAAAGGAACCCTGTTTCGGTCTCATTGTGGGCGACCAATACGTCACTGGACATTCTGGAGCTGTCTAAGGTGCTGAAACCCCCCTCCTTCTCCAGACTCTACCCTTACATAACAAGTGAAGCCAAACTGCAAGGTATACCGCACGTTAGAGGTTTGCAAATCTAATCTGAGCGCATGAAGTCAGCAGGACAGCCCTCAGTCCGAGCACTGTTCCCGGTTGCAGCAGCGCTGCTGCCTCACCCAGCGGAGGCAATGGATTGGTAGAAATCCCTCGGAGGGCGTATGGTTTGGGTGGCAGCCTGCCCTCCCCCTCTCCCTGGCGGTTGTCACAGCACTACCCCTCCTCCCCCGCCCCCCCAGCCACCACCTACCCAACCCAAGCAACGGCAGGGATGAGCGCACATAATCTCCGCTGTTTTCTTCGTGTCCTTTCTGGTTACTGGGCGCGTTTACGTCCGAGATCTGGGAGCAGCCCTCTCGGAGCAGAAGTAGATACGTAACTCCGCGCGAGCTGTTACGAAATGTCCGGCCAGCGCGCGACCAAACGCTCGTGGTGATCAGGCGCAAGCTCCACAAATCAGTGCATCGCTCTGTGGGCTGGATTACGAGCTCGGGTTCGGATGTTGTGCTTCGGAGATGCTCTGGATGCGAGAGAAGCGCCATGGGATCGTTGACGCCTCCCACCGCGAGGCCCTTCGGAGGCTGAAGATCTCGCTCTGAGAAGAACCGGCGCTTGATGTTCTGACCGCGTAGATCTCAGCGCGTTTCCAGCCGCACAGACCCCTAGAACCGTTTTAGCGTCGACTGCTTTTCGTTGGAGCTCATTATAAGGCGGACCCGGTGAGGGTGATGGTGTGTCTGCGCTGAGTTTTGATGTGCGCACTCTGCTGGAAAATGGAAACCTCCAGCACGAGGACATTTTAAAAGGCTCGGCTTGTTTTTTTTCTGCTCTCTCGTTCGTAGAAAACACCTGGAGCTACGTTATAACGAGCGACAGCCAGATGTGAAAGTGGACGTGCGATGCGTCCTGCTGGGCTCCTCTGATCTTTGAGACTGTTTGGGAAAAGAAAAAGGAAGAAAACATTGCCTTTAAGAGGTTCCACCATGCCTACCTCTCGTTCAGGCTCGAGCTCAGTGGAATACTGGGTCGATGGCTCTCGTCGAGATGTTTCCATGGAGGAGTTCTACACTATGGGCCCAGAACTGGGAAGGTAAGGGGTACCCTGGGTTCCTGCCACTCTTGTGGGCTTTGGTGAGCGGGCATGAACAATTCTACGCCATGAAAAAGTCAGCAAAGGTGTCTGATTCTAACTTCTCATGCGAATGAATGCTGTCATTGTCAGTAATGATGAAACTGTACATACTCCACCCACTCATTTTTCAAAATTTCGCTGTAAATCACTAAGATGTGAGTCTCTCAGAGGGGTTTGATGTGAAATGGTTCATTGTAGAGAAACTTAATGACTTGTATTTCTTTATAATGGTGGTGATAAGAACAAGGAGTCACCAAGTCTATGCAAATATAACCAAATATGCAAATATAGCCATTTCATTTACTATCCAAAATGACCAGTGAACCTACATGTCTTCTTTTATGATATTAGCCGATAACATTAAAAAATCTGTAAATCTGATGAAAATAAGTTTTGTTTGGGCATTATTTTGCCCATGAATGGATCTAAAACTACATCTTTGAGGCCTTAATCTTCTCTGAAAACAAAGTATTCGTAACTATTTATGTAATAACTTTCTGTGACTTTTAGAAACATTAAACGCATCAGACATCTGGTTCCTATCACACAATCCTGGTTTGTCCAGAATATCGCATTTCGCCTGAAACCAGTCTGAACGACTTTGTTTACATCTTAAAGCTGCACTATATAAGTTGTGGGGATTTGGAGACCCCTCTGGTGGAAATGTGTAATTGCATGCAACACGCAGAAGAACACTGGTTTTGCTTCAAACCACTTCTACGAGCGGAGGAATACAATGACTGCGAGTGCACAGAAAGAGCATTCAAAAAGAAATTCAGTCAAAACTTGGTGAAGGATGTGTCTTCCAAGGATGTGAGTGAATTATCACTGTCATCATATCTTCATCAGAGTAATGCTGATTTTGCTTTTGACACCTAAACATGGGCCTTGGAGCTGGACTTTCTTTTTGAGCCTGTTGAAGTTAATATGTAAAGACATATGAAGTGTCTGAAAAAGTCTCGCCAAATCCAGTCCAACACTTCTGACTTTTAACATATTATTTTGGGCTTTACAGCGTGACTCGCAGCAGCACGTGCACACCATATTTTCTCTTGACTCAATGCTGCTTCTCTCCGATTGAACGAAAAATTACATGGTGCAGCTTTAATGACTGAATTGTGCATAAATTTTGATAAACCTGTAGAATTTCCTCTTGAAAACAATAAATAATAAACGTTACTGAATGGTTGTTGGCTTAGATGTATGATTTTAGGCAACGGTGTTAGCTGGCATAGAATCTTTACATAACATAGATGTTCTTTGAAAGTTTATTTAGACATTTACAAAGAGCTCTTTACAGAGCGGTCAGTTGAAAGGTTCTTTAGGAATCCAAAGGTGGTTCCTCTTCCTCTATCATGCCACAGAATCCTTTTTTTCAGCTTTATTTTGGAGAATATAGATGATGCTTCCAAATCTTGGTGCTAGTATCTCTCAATCCATTCTGCACAGCCTTGCTGGGTGTGCCGATAAAGCATATCCGTAGTCTGTTATGCAAATGCAGCAGCGCTGAGGATGAGGCCAGACCAGAAAAGAGAGAAAAGTGAGTGGATAAAAGGGTGAAGGGTTGGACGAGGATGGACAGGAATCAGGTGATGAGGTTCAATCTTCTGGATTTATGTGGTATAAATCATCCCTGACCTCAGAAGGCCTGATGCACATATGCCCTTGTAATGATGAACTCGGTGCTTTGGTCTCAGTCCCTGATGACATTTAAGATTGGTGGAGGCTCTCGGAGGCTGAGGCGCTGAAGTGTTAAAGTTCAATCACGAGGCAGCAGATGGAATGGTGCCTGGCCTCCCTGTGTGTTCAGTCATGTGATCCCATGCAGTCATCCAGTGACAATGAAGTGTTAACGATTTCACAGTGCTTAAGAAACCCCTCAAGCACCTCCACTCACTGCGTTCGCATACAGCATGACGTGTTAATTTCAGCTTGATGATTGGAGATAAAAATGGCATTCTCAACCTGAGAAACTTGCAAGATTTTGCAGTGTTTCACTTTTGAAAGTCAGGCTATGTTTGCCAGATGATATTATAATTTGTTGAAAGATTATGGAGGATGCTTAGTTTGTTAACATCCTATATTCATAAAAAGAAATTACACGAAACCTTTAAAATTACTGCACAAACAAACAGTTAAAAAGGCATTAAGAATGGTTTGATGTGAAATGCTCTGTTCTAGAGAATCATACCAAGTCAGGCGTCTGAAGCATCTACTTCCAAAACAGCCACAAACTTATTATGTGAAACAGTTATGAATGTACAGTCTGAGATAGTAGGTACATGGTGGCCTAAATGTCAGGTTTGAAATACTTTATGGGGGAGAGGTACATGCAGGGTTCTATTCTAAGGCAAAATAGTCCCAAAGAAAACATATTTTTTCAGATTTACTATTATTTTATCATTACCAATTACATACTATACATTATATTTTCATATAATAACTCAGAACACATGTAGGTTCAGTGGTCATTTTGGATAATAACTAAAATGACTATATTTCACAAGCCCTGGTTCCACAAATCAAAGATGGTAAGTTCCATTTCACATCAAACTATACTGAATGATTCTTTTACACCTCAACAGCTGTGAAAAATCAGAGGAATTCCACTTTAAAGTGGTATAGAACCTTTACATTATATGGAGGTTCTATAAACTTTAGTTTGTCACACTTACACATCTCATTTACAGAATCTTTCTTTATGGAACCTTCTTTTAGATGGTTTTTGGACGTACAGTTCCTGGAAAAATGTTATAAAGCTGTTCCATTAGGTGAAGGTTCTTTAAACGTAAACATATTTCTCATTTCCAAAAAAAGGTGGCTCTTTAACCACTTAATTGGCCAGGGCCCAAAGTTTTATTACACACTTCTATAATCTAAAAATATATTAGCCAGTTTGCATTGAAGTAGTTACTGAATAATAAGCCTTAGTGTGTGATAAGGCTGGAATTTTAAGGGGTTAAAGAACCATCAGGTGAAATTGCTTCTTCTATGATACTGATCTGAAGAACACTTTTTGCCAGCTTTATATTAAACTTTATTTTATTGCATCCCTAAAAAAGTACTGTAAGCCTACATGGCATACTTTCAGGCGTGTAATGATTATCAAGGGCTTTCCCATGTTTTAGAACTCAGAAGTAGGCCATCAGTTTGGAGGAGGCTCTGGCCTGGTTACCAAGGAAACATACAGATCGAGTGTGGTTGGGCTTTAGCTAGGACTGTATTTCAAGGGAGCCTGAATCAGATCAGTGTTATTTGTAGCACAATATCACAACAGCAGATCATGTCAGTGGCCCTACTGGTGTTTTACGATATATAGAAAGTTCAGTTCTTTTCCAGTACTACAGCATAGTGTTACTAACTTTCAACATGTTTGACTGATTAATGGCCTGATGTCCTACTTTGCTCTTGTATTTTTTTTTTGTTGGGTTCTGCTTATGATGTGAGGTTTATGTATTAAAGACAGTCATCATTTATTTTTGCATGACCACTTTCCAAACTCTCAGAATTAAACAGCCATTTGTTACTGAACCTTGAAGACTGATACATGCAAATGAGCTCTGTTTCCAACTGGCTGACCTTAATTAAAAAGTAGTCCACTTCTCATAACATGGATGTGATTGGACGGGACTAAACTGCTGTAGGCTGAATAGGCAGATATGCAAAAGTTTGAGTCCCCCGGTCAGATTACGTTTTTTTCATGTTCTAAGTGAGAATAAGTGAATACATCCTCTACAGAGACACACTGCTGAACATTTTAACGCACATTTACTGTTTATTTGCCGAAATTAGCTACAATATTGGAAAAGCAATACATAATACATGGCCTGTGCATTTCTTATGGCACATTTTATATTGAATGTGATACTTAATATGTTAAACTCAGCAAATAAACAGAAATTGTGCATTAAAGGTTTATGGAAAAAAGTCATTTAAGTTTGTTCCCTGTAGAGGATGTGTTAAGGTGAAAATGCATTGGTTTTCATGACATCACAAAAGAGTGAAAGGTTGTTTTTACAGCTTAGCTTGCATATACGAACAGTAGGGACTGGGGAGTGAACAGTTTTGAAGCTTTGATGATGAGAAAAATTAGTATTTGCTTGATATAGTCCCTTTACATAGGCTAACACTACGTTGACAATTTATTTTACCTATAAACAAATCAAATTGCACGTCAATTTGAGTTAAGACGTGTTCATCAGCATATGTGAAACATCAAATTTAATTTATGAATCTAAGGTAATAGTTTTGGTACTCACTGGTATTGGTATCAAAATTAAAATTCTGACATTGTGACAAAGCCGGGCCCCACATTAGGTAACTACATGGTGAATGTTAGTCACGTCACCACAATCGAAAGTGGGGCATACAGTAGAAGAAACTCAGAGTGGTATCACCGCATTGATTCCACATCACCAACACATTCAGATTAGTAAAGATGCCTTTACACATTTCATTTCTGTCAAGGTTCCCCGTCTCCAGCACTGTATCAGCCTGTTTATTCTGGCCCTCATTGATTTTTCCTTGTTTGGTTTTTCTCCAGAGGGGCTACGTCGGTCGTGTTTCGCTGCGAGGAGAAGCAAACAGAGAAGCCCTACGCAGCCAAAGTCCTAAAGAAGACTGTAAGTCAGCCTGCCATTTTAGAGAGTATTCAGTGTTTGGTTTGTATGTTGAACAAAAAAAATATTCTTACATATATTTGATTGCTCTTGTCATTGTCATATCATCACAGATTGACAAGAAAATAGTGAGAACTGAAATCGGAGTGCTGCTGCGTCTTTCTCATCCAAACATTGTAAGAGCTTTCTTCTCTCTAATGGACACAGAAAAGCTGTATTGGCCATACTGAACAGAATCATGTAGATTACTGCACAAATCCCAGAGATCACCCTTCATGTATTTAATTCCCTGTCAAAACATTTATTAAGTACTAGACATTTTTCCACATCTGAAAAGTTCAGTCTTAGAAGTTGGTTGCATTTTCTGCATCTTACAATCCAAGGTCCAGTCCCATTTCACCCCTCACCCCTACCACTTAGCCCTCCATTTTGCATGTTCACGTGTAGGGGTAGGGTGTCCCGATTTTTGTAGCGATAGAGGGGTAGAGTGAAGTGTTAGGGCTACATGGCCCTCCAAACTGAGGTTTTTCAGAGGCACATTCCAAACAGAGTGTTATGAAAAAAAAGAAAAACTGGCAAGATGGCTGTGCGAGCGACCAATGAAACCCATAAAAGTAAGTATTTTCTCTGTTAGAAGTTACAATAAACACTATATTATCTTAGGTTAATGTTGTTTCAATGTATTATGGTCCTTTTCTTCATAACAACCATAAAAAATTGCTAATAGTATTCTAATGTCTCAGTCACTAGCTAGCTAAATTACCCATTCCACCTTAAATAGTCTAGCAGTTCTGATGCCTGAGGTGCCATAATGTAACTGCTGCTCCATTTAAGGTAGAATGTGAAAATTCGAACAAGAAACTGGTGAATAACTGACTTCAGCTTTGTATCACTGAAGAATTAGGGGTGGGCAATAATAAATAATTGTTATCCCCCCTCTTTGAAGGCATACGATGCCCCAAATGTAACTAAAGCCCAGCAGCAAGGTTGCTGAACTTTACCCTCTCTGCTGTCACTGCAGACTGGCAGGGTCGCCTACAGAGCAGCGCTAGTAGCCTGTTAATGAAGTAATGTTCTTTTTTATTTGAAGGTCCCATTTCATAGGGGAAGATTTCAACCACTACCTTTTGTGATTCGGTTTCAAGGGGCAAGATGACACTCAAAAACAAGGGGTAGGGGTAAAAATGAGAAATGGGATTGGGCCCAAGTAATCCAAACACATTCAATAACGTTGAGGTCTGGACTCTGAGGTGGTCAGTCCATTCCTCTAAGAACAGCAGCAGCTTCTTTGTTTGAAATGCACATTTTCCTTTTCCCAATAACAGCTTATTGACAGCTACACAACCTGAGAAATAAAAAGAAAATGTACAAGGACTGACCATCTCAGAGTCCAGACCTCAATATCACTAAAAGTGAGATAACTTGGATTGTAAGCAGCAGAAAATGCAAACCAACTTCAGACTGAACTTTTTCAGATCTGAAGTACGAACTTGATTTCCCCTCATAGATGAAAGCTTTAGTGCTGTTTATCCGATGGTGATAGTTTTGGTGGTCTACCAAGTCTTGCATGGTTGTTAGGGTTCCCATTTTTGAGGTCCAGTTTTCTCACTTAAAGACTTTTGTCTTTCTACCTTTCATTAGAAATTTGTACTTAATGGTTGTTTTGACTGGAAATTAAATAAATAGTCTCTAACTTTTGCATACTGTACTGTATTTCATTTAAGGTTGCACCAATTGTAAATGTTTAAGGCTGATTCTGATTTCTTTACAGCCAAATTGGATGATGGACAATTTTTTTCCCACATTAACAGGCAACAAAGACATTATCACTGTGTATTTGCTCTCCAAAGCTAATGATTGCACTGAATAAATGAACTGATATGAAACACATAGACTGGTGCGTAGGCCAAACACATGCACAGTCTTTTGTTCACAACGTCAAATGCAGTATGTGCGTACTTGGCTAGCTCACATTATTTACGTCATAAAATCATAACACAGAACTGCCATCATAAAAATAAGGCAATTGCCAATAGAGTGTTAGAGAATACTGACCAATTCCGAGCCCAACAACACCCACAATTGTATTGTCACCAGGGCACAATTTTATTTACACAGCATCTCATGTCAGCACCCTCCTCTGTTTCATATGATCATATATCATTGGTCTATTGTTTTATTATAACCGGATGCTTTCCCATAGATCCGCCTGAAAGAAATCTTTGAAACGGAAACAGAAATCTCTCTCATTCTGGAGCTGGTGACTGGGGGGGAGCTCTTTGACAGGTGCGTCTCCTCACTGAAAATCCATTCAGGATGTTGGCTTTATTGACAACATTAAAGGAAATAGAATATGACCTTTCCAGTAACCCAACCTCTGTTTCCCAGAGATAGGAGATTACCAGGCTGAATTTAAACTATGAGCCCAATGCTTATAGAGGAGTAAAAGCAATCTCATAGCAAGGTTTCAAACTGATTTGCTAAATTCAGAGAATCTTTTTCTATTTTAGCACAGCAATGCATTTATCACAGATTCTCCAGCAACTGAATGTATAGAACAGGGGTTTGCATGTAGCAGTGATTAAAAATATAAAAACTAAATGTGTAGTAATGTACATTTTACCAATAAAGTGCCAAAAAAGGGTTCTTTGGAGCAATGCCATATAAAAATCACTTTTACTATCTTCCAAATGATGGTTCTTTAAAGAAACAGCAAAGAAAAAGTCCTATAAATGAGATGTCTGAGTGTGAAAAAGTTTAAAGTCCAATTATAGAGTGTTCAAATCCTCTTAAAAATAAAGGGGCCCAAGAGGGTTCTTTGGAGCAATGCCATAGGAGAACCAAGGCAATGCCATAGAAGAATTTGTGGAATCAGTTTTATAAATGAGATTGGGGAATGAATGAGTGAAAAACATTTTTAAAGTTTTTAAAAGAACCAATGCAAAATGTGAAAATTCTATACCAATTAGATTTTCTTAGAACTATATATCCAAGCCAAGAACCATTTAGGAACATTTATCTGTTTTAAGAGTATAGAACCATACAGTCAAGCCAAGAAAAATGTAGGAATCTTTATTTTTAAGAATGTAGAACTATACATTTAAGGACAAGAACCATTTATGATCTTTTATTTTTAAGATTGTAGAACCACATGTTCAAGCCAGGAACCATTCAGGAACCTTTATTTTTAAGAGTGTAGAACCTTACATCCAAGCCAAGAACCATTTAGGGACCAATATTTTTAAGAATGTAGAACCATACTTTCAAGCCAAGAACCATTTAGGAACCTTCATTATTAAGAGTGTAGAACCATACATTCAAGCCAAGAAACATTTACGAACATTGAATGTAAGAATGTGGAAGTGCATGTTCAAGCCAAGAACCATTTAGGAACCTTTATCTGTTTTAAGAATACGGAACCATACATTCAAGCCAAGAACCATTTAGGGACCAGTATTTTCAAGAATGTAGAACCATACTTTCAAGCCAAGAACCATTTAGGAACCTTCATTGTTAAGAGTGTAGAACCATACATTCAAGCCAAGAAACATTTACAAACATTTAATGTAAGAATGTGGAACTGTATGTTCAAGCCAAGAACCTTTTAGGAAACCTTTGTTTTTAAGACTGTACAACTATATGTCCAAGCTAAGAACCATTTAGGAACCTTTAAATTAAGAAATGTGCTGGTGAGAGGTTGTCAAGTCCTCTTCTGTTTACAAACATGACGTCTCTGTCAGTCTGCTTAGCCTCTGCAGAACCCGCCACCACTGAATGGGTGCTACTGGTTTGGCACTGCAGTGATCTTCATTTGAACTTTGTTTCTAATAAACGCACAAGAAAAGAAACAGCTTGAGTAGTGAATATAACATATGAATGTAACATCACACCAGCAGCACATCTGTTGAGCTGTCCCTGTTTTCGGGCAGTGAACAGCATCACTTCATTAGACAAGCATGCTTGGGAACCACAGATCAGAATCATAACTTCAACAGTTAATTGCACAGCTGGATGATTTCATTTTCAGCTGCTATTACTGAATCCACTGATTGAGATGGTTATGAGGTAATTTGTAAATAAGGCCATAAAATTGCATTGATACAGTGCATTGATCTGAGCTGATGGATGTGTTGGTCTGAAGGTAGCATTGATTTCTGAATGTAACCATCAATTAGAATCAATAACATTAAATGAGGTATGAGGTGTAAAGTTCTCAAGCTATAATAATAATATTACTTATAATAATATTTATAATAAAAAGCATGAAATATTGTTTTATACTACTGTGTAAACAGTTCCTCAGGTCACATATCTGCTTTCTATGTATTTCTGAAAATAGTTGTGAATCATACCAAAATAAACAAAGCAAATTGTGGTGAAATTTAGATTTAATGATGCACTGACCCATTTCCTGAAGAATTATATTTAAATTCAAATGAGATGTCTTAAGTCTTTTAATCTTCCAATGATCAACCAGGGTCCTGTCTATGACTGTTCAAACAGTTTGGCATGTTTGGTTGTTTCAGGATCGTGGAGAGGGGCTACTACAGCGAGCGAGATGCTGCTCATGTTATCAAGCAGATCCTGGAGGCAGTGGCGGTAAGATCAATCTAGAATCCTACTGTATACACTGTATTGTATACACTACACTGTTTGGTCAGTTCAGCCAGTTCAACTGTTTTTTTCTAAAATATATAGGTTTACTGAACAACAGCAATATTTTACATAAATTCAAACTTCAGAGACAGTTCTAGTAAACTTCTGCTCTGTTCCACTTTTTACACTACAGGTAAAATTTTGATGATTACATAAAATTATTTTTCTTTGAGTGACCCTGTACCTTAATTATGTGTAAAACAAATGATTGAACATTCCATTTTGTTATTACCAAAACAATCAGAACACTACAGAAACTGAAATTAACAAATGTTTCAGTAGTGACTGTTTCAGTAGTGACCACTATAGTTTATTTTGAGCAGAACTCAAAAATGTTAGCCAGTGACTAGCAAACACAGTTTTGAACAGTTGTACACAATGTTTTTATTAAAACACAGAAAAGTTAACTTAATTGCAGAAAATGTTTGTTTCAGTAGTGAAAATTCTTAACGTTACACACTGATATTCAAAACAATGGGATCTCACCATGTGGCCATGAGAGACAGTGAGGCAGTCTCACTTCCTGCTCTAAAATGCAGGGTTGTGGTTAAATAAGACTCCAGCTACAGACTAAAACTTCTTGTGTTTGGTACTGACATGAAAACGTGGGAGAGTTTTTTTTTTTAGTTTAAAAATTTAACTCATGATAAATCAAAATCTTTCAACTTCACTTTAAGATAAATCAAAAAGATTTTAAAAATTACAAAAAAAAAAATGTATTCAACTTTTCACAAGTTGACATTTAGGGGTTAGGGTTTGAGACATACATAGAGTTGTATACATACCAATCCCAAAAAAGTTGGGACAGTATGTGAAATGCAAATAAAAACAGTATAAAAACACAATATTTGATGTTTTACCTTATGAACTTTATTGTTTTTTGCAAATATATGCTCAAAATTTGATGCCTGTAGCATGTTCCAAAAAAGCTGAGACAGGAGCATGTTTACCACTATGTTACATCACCTCTTCTTTTAACAGCACTTAATAAATGTTTGGGGACTGAAGACACCAAGTGATCCAGTTTTGAAGGAGGAATTTTTTTGCCAAGTTATGCAAATCTTCAGCTGCGCAAGCACATGAGGCCTTTATTGTTTTTTGTATTGTATTGTTATTTGTATTTTGTATTTCATAATGCTCCACACATGTATAATAAGACACAGGCAGGTCAGTGTAGATAAGCTCAGTCCATTTTAGATACGCTCAAGCCCAGAGAAGTCGGCAGCGTTTCTGGATGTTGTTGACATATGATTTCCACTGTGCACAGTACAGGGTTAACCATTTGTGGATGCAGCGACAGATAGAGTTTATTGAAAAGGTTTGGCAAAGTATTCCCAAACTCATGTGATGACATCCATCATGGAAGCATGACGGTTTTTAATGTAGTGCTGTCTGAGGGATCGAAGGTCACAGGCATTCAGTTGTAGTTTTAAGCCTTGCCTTTTACAGATTCCCTGACTCTTTTGATAATATTACACACTGTGGAGGGTGAAATGCCTAAAATCTTTGCAAATGCTCTTTAAAGAACATTATGTTCAAACTGTTAGATTCTTAGCTGATGGATTTTTTGGCAGACTGGTGAGCTTTGACTGATGCTTGCTCATAAAGAACTAGACATTTCCAAGATGCTCCTCATTTTACACCCAAGCACAATTACATCACCTCTTCTAAAGTATTTTCTGAACATTTACCAATGCTCCTAGTCTTAATGGTTTCTTTGTGGAATGTGTTGCAGGCATCAATTTCAGAATGAGCATATGTATTTACAAGAACCATTGAAGTTGATGAGGTAAAAGATTAAAGATCTTGTGTTTGTACTGCTTTTGTTTAAATACTGTTTTTGTTTAAATCACTGCTTTCTGTTATTATTTTCCATTTCACAAACTGTCCAAACATCTTTGGAATTGGGTTTGTATGTTTAGCTTACTATCTAACTAACTTAGATTACTATCTCAATGCATGTCTCTGGTTTAAATAGATCATAAAATAATCCTTGTAAACATTTAAGGTTTAAATACTTGATTGTTTTTTTTAAATAGTTTGTTTTTTACTGTGGGAGTTTTACTGCAAGTTAAACTAATTTGGTAGAACGGTCCATATAGAACCAGTAAAGAAACCTTGAAGAACCATTTTTAATAGTGTTAATAGTACTGATGATAGTCACAATTTCTTAAGAAAAGCAATTGCGATATTATTTATGATGAAATTGACATCATATCAAAGTATCACCCATCCATGTGAGATAGATGAGTTGATTACGAACTATGGACTCCTAGTAAACCTTTAATCTCTGGGTAGAAAGGAGAAGAAAACTATTTCTCTTCTACGTCAGCCATTTCACACCTCTCGGAGCTGAACTTCTCACACCCTGGAAGACACACAGATGGTGCCAGAGCTTTTTTTTCCCTGGAATGCCCTGAATTTTACAGCTAAATGCACTTTATAGTCATGTTGAGACTTGTTCAGATGCAAAGCACCTCAGCGGTAACTTAGTCCTATTTTTAGGCCTTTGTTGTGCTCTGTATGCAAATGATAGACAGACCATCCAGTGACATGTGACGTGCAGGTTGACTGTAAGCTATACAATATATAGATAGGCAGCAGTTTGACATCCAGAGCCTTTTATTTTATAAGGTTAACTGAGTCTTAAGATGTTTTTATAATATGGCTGAATAGACAGAATTGTATCATTTAAGGAAGAACAGAATCATTTGTCCTATGCTCACTGTCCACTCACTAGCCCCCACGCCCCCACCTTGTAAGACCACTATATGCATAGTCACAGGTCAGTTTCTGAAAACAGAACTGCTTCAGCAGAGGTTCTCAACTTTTTCTAACTAATTGTCCACCTATTTATCACTAGAAAGCACGAAAGCCCACAGGAAAAACAAATAAAAATTTGGTTTAAAAATTCATACACTATTACAATTCATTTTTTATACCAGAAATCAGATGAAATAGTTCCAAATTAAGCGTAATGTTCCTGCACTTTTTTACACCAGTTGTTTGCGAGTGGATAATTGAAACTTGTGGGAGAATATTTTGTTTTTATAAGCTAGGGGCAAAAATATGCTTTGCTTTTTTTTAACTTTGATTTTTTTTGTATTACTGTGGCAAAGCCCACAATTGACCACTGGCTCCCCCTAAATACCAGAGGGAAACTCAGCTCAAAGGAATTTTCAGCACAGCCTTTATACTGACATGATAGTGGCATGGTGGAATGTGTATATCAGGCACAGCACTAATGCTGGGTTTTTAGTGTGTTTACTTGGTTGTGACCCACCACTGAAAAATATGCAGCCAAGAGCAGCTCTCTAGTCAGAAACTGACCACTGATGAAGGTCTAGAGGATGACTAACACAAATTATGCAAGGCAACAGATGGATATACAAGGTAGGTATTTCTAATCAAGTGGCCAGTGGGTGTCTGTACTTACGTACTTTTAAAGCACTCCGTTTTAAATGTTTCATCCATTTTAGTGATTTGTTGATTTGTCTTTCTTTAGTTTAGTTTTCATATTCAGTTTTTCTCCTTAGTCTGCCTTCTGTATAAGGAGAAAAACGTCATAGTTCAGATGTTGTTTAGGCCTAGTTATTATCTTTGCAGTAGCCTCTTTCTGCAGCCATTCTGCCTGGCGGAATGGAAAACATCTTGGATAATATTAGATTAACTGTGACATTTTTGGCTCCCTGTGTGTGAAATGTGACTCTGTGTTGAGCTGCTAGCGAGCAATGAGGAGCGAAAGGGGAGAGATGAGAACTTCCTGCTGTGAAAAAAAAGCACACATTTCCACAAAGACGGCTGTGCCGAGATAAACAGCACAAACAACAACTTTCTTCATATCAAATAATAATGTAAAACTGACACAACAAAAAAACACAATAAAACCTTTTTTATAGGCTGAAATGTTGACCTGCTTGCTCACCTACGCAGATGGCGTTCCAGTTTATGTCAGGTTTTGTAAATCATACACATTTCTGTCAACATATTCTGTCAAAGTTGTTGAAGAAAAAATGCTAACCTATTTTTTATTTGCACTGTAACATTCAAAGTATTTATTACAGTGTACAGTATAGAGTCATATGCAAAGCATTTGAATGCCACTGATTAAATGACATGTTTTGTTAACACATTCCCTACAGGGAACAAAGTTAAATAAATTTTACATTTTTCTGCAACTTATTAGTGCATAATATCTGTTTATTTGTTTAACATATTAAAAAAAAACATGTACCATAACTTTTGCACAGACCACATTTTGTTTTATTTCTGGCAACAGTTGTTGTGCATGAAAATGTGCTGAAGTGTGTTCTCTGCAGAGGATGTGTACTTATTTTCACTTCACTATTGCATACGACTGTATTCACAGATTTAAGAGCGCACTGAATGTCTGCTTCAGTTTGTGTTTTTGTGTGATGTTTAATTGGTCCAGGACTAGCGGCACTTATTACTGTATTACTGTATAATCCCAATTAAGTTCTTTCAAAGTTGTACATAGCCCAAAGAAATAAAGCTTGGCAAAGGGAGATTTGATATTGCACTCAAATCAATTCAAAAGGGTTATAGGAGAAAAGTGTGCTTCCGAATGTGCATGTAGGTTATGTTTCAGATGGCATGCTGAGGGAACTCCTAAAGCTCTTTTTAAAATGACATCACGCAGCAGAGTCTGGACGTTTCCCGGTTTCATGTCATGGAAAAAAACAGTGGATCTGAAGCATTTTCAAACAGAGGATTAGTGTTACACCATTTGCTCGGACGAGGCGTGTGGCCTGGTGCAGAGCTGGGCTGAGAGCAGAGGGCTTGCCAGTGTAAAACTGCGTGGATGTGGGACAGAGTCTTGTTGTCGCTCAGAAGGGAGTGACAGGCTGAGCGGATATGCGTGGAACGCTGCAACGTGAAATAATCCTCTCAGAGAGAGAAAAAACAACAAAAAAAGCCGCTGC